AATGAAACGTAATTGTACACCTAATCCTTAACTGTACCCCACAAAACTATAATAAAAATACTGATTAATTAAAAAAAAAAAAAAAAAAAAAAAAAAAGAAAGACTATATCTCTTCAAAAAAATTTTTTAAATTAGCCCAACATGGTGGTGCACACCTGTAGTCCCAGTTACGTGGGTGGTTGAGGTGGAAGGATCACATGAGCCCAGGAAGTCGAGGCTGCAGTGAGCCGTGATCATGCCATTACACTCCAGCCTAGGCTACAGCATGAGATCCTGACTCAAAAAAAGAAAAAAAAAATGCATGATGTGTTACTGTGATTCACAAAACTTAAAAATCTCTGCCCTAGAGAAGTAAGTTTTAACCATAGTTTTATGAAACAGTAGTAGCCAATCTGTCCAGACATAATGAGCTGACTCATTAATTAAAAACTACACAGGGTCTTGCAGGCAGCCTGAGAGCCAGAGCTAGCAGGCAAGAACCACTGCAGGACAAGCATTTAGAAAGTTTCTTCTGCTCTTTGAACAAGTATTGGTTGAAAGGAGCGCAGCCGAAACTGTAACCAAGGGAGGCATTATGCTTCCAGAAAAATCTCAGGGAAAGGTATTGCAAGCGACAGTGGTGGTCGCTGGCTCAGGCACCAAAGGAAAGGGTAGAGAGATTTAACCAGTTAGAGTGAAGTTGGAGATAAAGTTCTCCCAGAATATGGAGGCACCAAAGTAGCTCTCGACAACAAGGATTATTTCTTATTTAGAAATGGTGACATTCTTGGAAAGTATGTGGGCTGAAGCAAAACACTATTGAAATGGCATCAATATGAAGCTGCCCCTTCCACTGAAATTGTGAAATCTTTCACCATGTAACTAATTTTCATGTCTTTCTTTTATAATAAACTATGATATTTTTTAAAACTATACAGGAAGGCCAGGTGCGATGGCTCACACCTGTAATCCCAGCATTTTGGGAGGTGTAAGCGAGAGGGTTGCCCGACCCAAGGGATCAAGACCTGCCTGGACAACATGGCAATACCTTGTCTCTACAATAAATTTTTTTTTTAATTAGCTGTGTGTGGTGGTTGCACACGCCTATAGTTCCAACTACTTGGAAGGCTGAAGCGGAAGGATCATCTGAGCCCACCCAGCAGGTTGAGGCTGCAGTGGCCGTGAGCAGCATGCCACTGCACTCTACCCTAGCGACAGAGTGAGACTCCAACTAAAAAAATATATATATATACAGGTGCCAAAAAAACATATACAGATTTTAAGTAAGTATGACATTTGCTCAAAAGATGGCATTAATCAAACGAATGCTAGAGACACCATAAGACAGACAGGACAGTTAAAGAAAATGGCAGAAGCATGGTTGAGGAAAATGTTATACTACGCATTGCTACTATAATTTAATTCAATTTCAAAAAATAATACATAGATAACACTTCTTAGAATGTGTATACATTTTTTGGCACTCCCATAGTTAATTTTTTTAAAGAAGTATTGATTCACAACAAAAAACATTTATATGGGCTACTTCTAAAGAATAGAGTCGTATCCGGGCTCTGTGGCTCAGCCTGTAATCCCAGCACTTTGGGAGGCTGAGGTGAGTGGACTGCCTGAGCCCACGGGTTCGAGACCCACTTGGGCAACTTGGCGAGACCTCATCTCTACAATAAATCAAAAATTAGCCGGGCATGGTAACGCGCGCCTGTAGTTCCAGCTACTTGGAAGGCTGAGGTGGAAGGATCGTTGGAGCCCAGCAGGTCGAGGCTGCAGTGGCTGGGAGCGGCCACTGCACTCCAGTCTAGGCGACAGAGTGAGACTCCAACTCAAAGAAAAAAAAAGAGTAGAGTTTATCATGTAATCCAACGGGAAGGTAACGCGACATGAAAGAAGTTTATAATCTGTTCTCTAGAACAGTAGATTCAAAACAATTTTATTTCCAATCGAATGCACAATGAAATAAGTCACTTTTTTAGTTTAATAGAAATTAGTTATTAATTTTTTATCTTTTGAGTCAGGATCTCTGCCACCCAGGTTGAAGTGCAGTGGCACAATCATGGCTCACCACAGCATCAATGTCCTGGGTTCAGGCAATCCTTCTGCCTTAGCCTCCAGAGTAGCTAGGATTTGCAGGCATGTGCCACCATGCCCAGCTAATTGTTTATTTGTTGCAGAGAAGAGGTCTCACTATGCTGCCTAGACTGGTCTCAAACTCCTGGGCTCAAGAGATCTTCCTACATTAAACATCCCTTAAAGAGTATTTCTAAGCTCTAAAGGGCATTCACTTCTTTCTAAATCTACAATGACGAAACTATGAGGAACCAGATGTGATTTTTCTATAATGGCAACAATGAAACTTTCAAAAAATACAGTGATATTATCTGTAATCTTCTATAAATCTTATATATTGCCATAAATGCTTTTTATTATCCTGATTTTCAAAAGAATCCATGTTTCGGTAAGGGCCAAGCAGTGGATCACACCTGTAATCCCAGCACTTCGGTTGGCTGAGGCAAGAGGACTGCTTGAGCCCAGGAGTTCGAGACCAGCCTGGGCAACATAACAAGAACCAGATTCTACAAAAAAAAATTTAAAAATTAACTAGGCGTGGTAGCAAATGCCTGTAGACCTGGCTACTGGGGAGGTTGAGGTGAGTAGATCTCTTGAGCCCAGGGGATGTTGAAGCTGTGATGAGTTATGATCGTTCCATTACACTCTAACCTGAGCAACAGAGTGAGATTCCATCTTACAAGGACACAGATTCTTCTGGTCTCCCACAGAGGCTGCTAATTGGTGATTTTAAAATCTGGACTGTATATAATACTGCAAAAATGTTAACACTGCTCACAATGTTGTTCTCTCAAATATTTTATGTGGTATAATTATTCTGTAATAAAAGTTAATATAAATTATCTTAAAAGTTAAGTAAAAGGGGGTGGGGGGTAGGGAGGTGGGATTGGCAGTAGTGGGAATCTCATCAACAAGGGTACCTGCACAATGAATACTTGTATACCTAACCCTGAATTGTACCCCACAATTTTAAAATAAAACATTTAAAGTTGAAAAAAATAAAAATAAAATAAAAGGTGCTTTTTAAATATCAAAAAAAAAAGTTAAGGAAAATAAAACCAGATCTCTCAATTCATGCATATACTTAAATATAGTAAGACTTACAGACTGTTTAAGATTAAAATTTTAATATATCTAGCTGGATGCAGTGGTTCACACCTATAATCCCAGAACTTTGGAAGGCCGAGGTGAGAGGACTGTTTGAGCCCAAGGGTTCAAGATCAGCCTGGTCAACTTGGAGAGACCTTATCTCTACAATAAATCAAAAAAATTAGTCAGGCATGGTGGTGAGTGCCTGTAGTTCCAGTTACTTGGAAGGTTGAGGCAGAAGGATCACCTGAGCCCAGCAAGTCATGACTGTGGTGGTGGTAATTGTGCCACTGCACTCCAGCCTAGGCGACAGAGAGACTCTGACTCAAAAAAAAAAAAAAAAAAAAAAAATACCGTAACAGGCCGGGCACAGTGGCTCAAGCGTATAACGCCAGCACTTTGGGAGGCTGATGCAAGAGGACTGCCTGAGCCTAGGGGTTCAAGACCAGCCACCTGGGCAACTTGGTGAGATCTCATCTCTACAGTAAATAAAAAATAAGCTGGGTGTGGTAGCACTCACCTGTAGTTTCAGCTACTTGGAAGGCTGAGGCAGAAGGATCGCCTGAGCCTAGCAGGTCAAGGCTGCGGTGGCCATGAGCGTGTCACTGCACTCTAGCCTGGGTGACAGAGTGAGACTCCGACTCAAAAAAAAAAAATCATAGCACCCAAGCAATAAGTATTCATCAAGATAACTATTTTTAAGTGTGCATTATTGCTTGTCTGCATTTCTTAAATTTGTATAACATATATTACCATTTGAAAAACAAAAAAACTACAATTATTTTAACAACAAAAACAAATCAAAAAGATTCTCATTCGATTAAAAATTAAAATGATGACTTTTCTTTTTAGTAAGTACCTTTTCTTGAAAGACAACAGCAGTTTCCAGCCCTGGCATGATGTCCAGTAAGAGTCTGCAAGCTGCAGTGTTTAAAGGGGGTTCTCGGCTTGTCATCACGTATGCATTCACCAACTGTAAAGAAAAACGTACAAAGTAGGGCAAGATAAGCCCCAGATTCTCAACAACGGTTAATAAAAAACTTTAAATGTATAATAAAGTCTATATATGTATGCATTAATAAAACTTTGGCCCTTATCTAGTATTTACAGAATCTCTACTACTAAATGATACCATGTCCTATGCTGAGTATATAACAGTAACTAATTAATGGCATAATCCCACCATCAAAAGACTCATAATCCAACAGAGGTAACAGTGGGGAAAACAGAAAATATCATGAGTACAGGATGCTATAGAAGCCTCTAAGAGGCCATATAACCTCTGCAGAAGAATCAAAGAAGGCTACAGAGAAGGGATTCCAAGCCACAATGTAAAGGACACGTAGGGAGAAGCTAAGGAAGATGGAAGGGAGGTGGGGGGCAGGGCAAAGGCCAGGAACTGAAGTTGCAGAGAACAAAGTCCAGAGACAGATTAGGTTTTTATAACAAATTAAGGAATTTAAAATTTATCCTGAGGGTAATGGAAAACCATTCATGAATTTTATTTAAGCAAGAGGGTGCCATGATTTTTGGGCTACTAGGTGAAGAATGGATTAGAGGAGGACAAGACAAGAAGAAACCAGTTAAGAGGCTATTATAGTAACCAAGTGAGAGATGGTAATGGCTAACTTAGGGTCTGGCAACAAGGACAGAAGGAAGTAGAGGGAACGATATCACCTGTATAACTTCACTGAGTAAGAGAGTTCTGGCTGACTAGACAAGGACATCAATACTGAACCAGAGAACAAGAGAAATACAGTTAACAAATAGTTAGGCATATGGAATTCAAGATGCACGTGGAAGATACCCCGGTAGGAATGTCTAGGAATTGGAAGTGATCTGAAGCTGAGAAGAAACACTGATGATACAAAAATAAGTGTAGGAGTCAATACAAAACAGATAATAATAATAGCTAATACTTACTGAGCCCTCATTAAGTGCCAGGTTCTGTGCTAAACATTTTTCATGCTTAATTTCATTTAAGGATTACTAGAAAACATTTTAAGTACTATTATCTCCATTTTGTATAGTACAAAAATAAGGCTTGTAGAAAATAAAGCTTGAAGGGACTTGAGTCACCTGCCCAAAGGTCAAACTGTCAGTAAACAATGAAGCTAGATTTAAATCCAACAAATGAACCCCAAAGTATACACTCTCAAGCACCATGACATCCCATCTCCAAAAACAAACCTAACAGCCATAATTTATTGAGCAATTACCATGTTCAGGAGCTGTGAGTGAAATATATCTACATATTCTCTTTTACCACACACAACAGCCCTGAGATAGAGAGAATGCACCTTTCTAATTCTCCACATGTCCAATGCATACACAAGTATCAGTGCAGAATCATGCTGTAAGTTTCACTCTTATTTTTCCACTGAAGAACCCATGAGGATTTCTATATTCCCAAACTTAAAATCATCTTGCCCAAGAATGAGCATAGATGCCTTGGACGGTCTCGCCAATATTCAACTGAACAAAGTAAACACCAAGGAGAAAACCAGGACCATTTTGGCCATAACCAGGACTTTGGCAAGAAAGAATCGCATAATTTGACTACTCTATTTAAAATGAACCAATACCGCCGGGTTCAGTGGCTCAGCCTGTAATCCCGCGCCTTTGGGAGGCTGAGGTGAGTGGATTGCCTGAGCCCGCAGGTTCAAGACCCGCCTGGGCAGCGAGACCTCATCTCTACAATAAATCAAAAAAATCAGCCGGGTGTGGTAGCGCATGCCTGTAATTCCAGCTACTGAGAAAGCTGAGGCAGAAGGATCGCCGGAGCCCAGCAGGTCGAGGCTGCGGTGGCCGGGAGCGGCCACTGCACTCAAGCCTGGGTGACAGAGTGAGACTCCAACTCAAAAAAAAATGAATTAATACCAAATTTTAAATATCTACCCACTCTACTCCCAACTTTGCCAAGGCCTTAGGAGAAAGCAAACTATTTATAAAAAACAGGAAAGGTACAGCATCTACTTGTGATAATCTCTGGAAAAAAGTAAGAAGCAAACCTACTGCATTCATGAAATCATCATTCTTGAAGAGTATTCTCAGCAAGTGGCCCAGCATACACTCTGGATCAGCTCGACCTACCAAAAGAAGAGGGGAGGAACAAACAAAGGAATGAGTAAGTCATCCCAGGCAAGCAACTTAGACCTCTGGAAAGGCACCTGCGTTGTTATAAATACTAACAGAATGTCAGCAAAAATAAATAGAAACAAAAGATTCTTGTGATGAATTAGATTTCATATGAAAATCTTTAAAAGTGACAACATAGAAACTGGAGACTGCTCTCTAACCTTCCCATCTCCCAGCATGTTGTCAACATAGCAACAGCAAATTAAACAGATGAGCACTACCATCCAGAACAGCATCACCAAGGATATACAAGATCTACAAAAGAATCATAAAGGAGCCTAAGAGAAAGACACCTCTGATTTTGCAGCCACAGAAAGGCAGGAAGCAAGCTTCTTTTGATGAGTGGCCTACAGACAATAACTCCAAGTCCAATTTCACCTTCAACCGCAATTAACAGCAGCAGCAACCATGCATCCTCAAACACGTAAGGGAACCCTGGGTTGGGGTGGAGGGGGTTGAATCTCACTAATCAATCACCAACCCTAAAGATACAGTAACCTTGGTCATCTTAACTTCCTAGCATTTGTGGAAAAAAGAAGGCCAGGATCCAAGGAGTTACTCAATGCACAGCCTAACAATAAAATAACTAGTTAATGACTGGGAGAATTGCTAGCTTATTTTTAAAACAGATACCATCTATTTCATTTCATTTCCTTTCAGAAGATTAAAGTGGCAAATTTAATCAAAACATTCAATATAGAATGAAGATCAGATGTGAGGTGCTGATATGACGTTTTCACCAAGCTGTAGTTAGTATCCTAAATTTTTTTTTTTTTTTTTTAACATTCTCTTAAGAGTTTATACCTGGTGCAGCCAGGCATCCTCCCTCGGGGCGTCAGACCCATCAGACGCTGTGGCCTGCACCAGTATCCTAAATTTAATTCACAAAAAGAAATGTTGGAGTAGGTGGGTATGGGTGGCTCACACCTACAATATCAGTACTTTGGGAGGCAAAGGCAAAAGGATTGCCTGAGCCCACAGGTTCAAGACCAGCCTGGGCAACATGGCAAGACCTCATCTCTACAAGAAATCAAAAAAATTAGCTAGGCAAGGTGGCGGCCGCCTGTAGTTCCAGTTACTTGGGAGGCTGAAGCAGAAGGATCGCCTGAGCTCAGCAAGTCAAGGCTGTAGTGACTGTAAGTGTGCCACTGCACTCTAGCCTAAGCAACAGAGTAAAACTCTGATTAAAAAAAAAAAGAAATGTTAAAGAATGATATCATAAAAACAAATGAGGACCTTGGATTACCTAACTTTAGCTGTTTACAGATGATGAAACTGACATCCATATTTTTATTAAAAGAAATACCACTGAAAAATATTATTTAACATTAAGAGGTGGGGGGGTGGGTTAGGTGGCTCAGTCTGTAATCCTAGCACTTTGGGAGACCAAGGCAAGTGGATTGGACTGGCTAAGCCCACAGAGGTTCAAGACCAGCCCGGGCAACTTAGCGAGACCTCATCTCTACAACAAATAAAAATTAACCAGGCGTGGTAGCGTGCACCTGTAGTTCTGACTACTTGGAAGGCTGAGGCAGAAGGATCACTGAAGCCCAGCAGGTTGACACTGGGGTGGCCATGAGTATGCCACTGCACTCCAACCTGGGCGACAGAGTGAGACTCCAACTCAAAAAAAAAAAGGTAGGGAGGAAAAAAAATTGCTTTTTAAGTTTCTACTGAAAACACGGCATATCATTCTCTGTCTCTTCCTTCTTCCTCATTACCATTTCATACTTTCCAAAGCAATAACACTAAGCATGATCATCTCTCTTTTAATGCCTCTCATAATTCTATGCATTAATTTAACTTCTGGGCCAGGCACAGTGGCTCACACCTGTAATCCCAGCACTTTGGGAGGCAGAGACGCAAGGACTCTCTGAACCCAGGGGTTCGAGACTGCCTCGGCAACATGGCGAGACCTCGTCTCTACAATAAAAATCAAAAAATTAACAGGGTGTGGTGGCATGTGTTTGTAGTTCTAGCTACTTGGAAGGCTGAGGCAGAAGGATTGCCTGAGTCCAGCAAGTCAAGGCTGTGGTGGCCATGAGTGTGTCCTGCACTCCAGCCTGGGTGACAGAGACTCTAACTCAAAAAAAAAAAAAGAAAATTAACTTCTGATTTCACATTCACTTTCATACATCTTCATGTTCTGATTGTCTTACTGGAGATGCAAGTTAAATAGTGAATAGTCCTCTGAAGTCACAAATAGGGATATCTAGAATAAGAACAGTAGGCAACCTCCCAAGAACAACTAGACCCTCAATTTGAAATGTCTTGCTTACTTACATCTGAGAACAAAAGTATAAGAAATAGTAATAAACCCACCCTGGAACATTCAGTTGAATATATAACGTTCTTACTTTTATAATTCCCACTCATTCACACTATCTCTCCACATATAAAATTTCAGACTCCTTTCTACAAAGGACTGCCCTGGCTATAGAGTTTATATGCAGGGTGGGCCCATACACGACTTAAACTTTGCTGTAATCCCAGCAGTTTGAGAGGCCAAGGTGACCTACCTTAGAGAAAACATAAAATGACAAAATTCGAGACCCACCTGGGCAACTTGGCAAGACTTCATCTCTACAATAAATCAAAAAAATAGGTGGGCGAGGTAGCGCGCGCCTGTAGTTCCAGCTACTTGGAAGGCTGAGGCGGAAGGATCGCCGGAGCCCAGCAGGTTGAAGTTGTGGTGGCCGGGAGTGGCCACTGTACTCCAGTCTGGGTGACAGAGTAAGACTCCAACTCAAAAAAAAAAAAAAAAAAATTAGCCAGGTGTGGTAGCACACACCTAGTTCCGGCTACTTGGAAGGCTAAGGCGGAAGGATTGCCAGAGTCCAGCAGGTCGACGCTGGGGCGGCTGTGAGTATGCCACTGCCCTCCAGCCTGGGCAACAGAGTGAGACTCCAACGCCAAAAAAAAAAAAATTAGCCAGATGTGGTAGCGCATGCCTATAGTTCCGGCTACTTGGAAGGCTAAGGCGGAAGGATTGCCAGAGTCCAGCAGGTCGACGCTGGGGTGGCTGTGAGTATGCCACTGCCCTCCAGCCTGGGCAACAGAGTGAGACTCCAACTCAAAAAAAAAATTAAAAAAAGAATTAAAAGTTAAAAAAAAAAGAAAAAAGAAGGCATACTTTAGTTGTTAAGACACCAAAGCAGACATCAAGTAATCTGTTTATTAGTCAAAGTTCCAAGGCAATGTATGCATTCTCAATTATATTTCCCCATTAGTAAAAAGATAACTGTTGTTAGAAAAATAAAGACAGAGGAAAGCACTTTTTGGTTTAATGGTTTAAAAAAGTCAAAAGGAAGAACATTTTTCCCTTTTTGGGTCTTTGTAATTAACTAAATTATACCTAATTACTTTAGTTATTTTAAGTTGGCTATGGTCTATTTGACTTGTAAATATCACAAATATTTCAGTTTTTCTGGGAATTTTTCTTCACTGTCCCCATGCTGATCAATATTTTAACAAATAAAAGGTCTTAAAACTTACCACAGAATATGCTATTTCAACTGAAAAACATTCCTATTAGCAATTTTCATTTGTAAGAAAAAAAGATCCAAGCTTAAGAGAGCACGTGTCTTACCAGGATGTCGATCATCAAATGGGTCTGGATCCCCTTTACGATATTCTTCAGTTTCTTTTTCAATCAATTCAGACATCCTAGGATAAAGGGAAGAAGGGGTCAACTCTGGACAAGTGTACAAAAAATTACCACCACCTAAAACAGTCAACTCAATAGTCAAAAAGTAAAATAAAAGCAAAGTTAGAAAAAGGCTATTTTTCTGATGAACACAGAGATCTAGAAAATTACCTCATAAAACAATTTCCACTCCCAAATTAATTATTATCTCAACTTTCCCTGCCTCAAAAGATAACACCACCATCACCTCAGAAGCCAAAAACTTAGCAGTCATCATTAAAATCTGCCTCTTCTCCTCCTACCCCACAACAATTCCTGTTAGCTCTACTTACAAGATACCTCCTGACTCCCATCACACTTCTCTCAATCTTGACCACTCCTACCTTTATCCAGACCACCATCATCAACTACCTGGACAACCTCCAACAGTCTTTTTACCAGTCTTCTTGCTTCCTGCTTCCATGCTTGACCTGACATTCTCCATCTTTCAATGACTTACCACAAAACCTTTAATTAAGCCCAAGTACTACCATTACCTACAATTATCTGGCTTCTTTCTGCTTCCTAGCCACTTCTACTGCTCCTCCACTAAGCTACAGTCACTGCTCTTCAAGGGCCCCAAGTTCATTCTTACCCAGGGTTACAGTGCTGTTAACTCAGCTTGTAACAATCCTACCCCCATCTAAGCCCCGCCACCTCTGCTCCAAGCAACCATTCATCTGCTTTCTCGTATTACTGATGAGTTTTGCCTGTTCCAGAATTTATTGTGTGTGTGTGTGTGTGTGTGTGTGTGTGTGTGTGTGTGTGTGTGTATTTAAGAGACTGGGTCTCACAATTTTGCCCAGGCTAAAGTGCAACAGCTATTCATAAGCATGATCATAGCACACTACAACCTGGAACTCCTGCCTCAGCCTCACAAGTAGTTGGTTCTACAAGTGTGTACCACCAAATCTGTCTTGTTCCAGAATATCTCATATAAATGAAATCATATATACTCTTTTAGTTCATCTGTCTTCTTTCACCTGACAGGTTTTAAGAATTATCCATGTTGCTACATGCAACAATAGTTATTTTTTATTCATGCATTCTTTATGAAACAAGAAATGTTACTTTTTGACTAGCCTAAGTAAGACTAACATTTTAATCTATTAAAAAGACAATTAAATATAAGAGCATCACACTCTCCAATATCTGATATGCTCTGTCCTAAATATTTTCTATTCTTACAGGTTAAACTGAAAAAATTCTTGGGCTACTCTGATCAAGCTTCAAAAGAATATCTGCTTTCTCTTCCTTTCTAAAACTCTGAAAATTATCTTTGGCACAAAGAGTAATCACACAAAATATGTTTACAATTACATATGTTAAGATCTACTCAGTTGAAACTAAGCAATATAGCACAAAAGTTTAAAATGTGGCTTCAAACCAGGCTCGGTGGCTCAGCCTATAATCCTGCGCCTTTGGGAGGCTAAGGTGAGTGGATTGCCTGAGACCGTGGGTTCGAGACCCGCCTTGGCAGGCGAGACTTCATCTCTACAACAAATCAAAAAAATTAGCTGGGCGTGGTAGCACACACCTATAGTTCCAGCTACTTGGAAGGCTGAGGCGGAAGGATTGCCGGAGCCCAGCAGGTCGAGGCTGCGGTGGCCAGGAGTGGGCACTGCACTCCAGTCTGGGTGACAGAGTGAAACTCCAACTCAAAAAAAAAAGTGGCTTCAGAAGCCAGATTGCCAGGTTCAAATCAGAGATTTTCCACTGTGTGAGACTTTAGTCAAGTTACTTAACCTCCTTGTGCCAAATCTGTAAAATGAGGATAACAGTAGCTATCTTACAGAGTTTCCCTGGGTTTAAATTAATTAGAACAAAGCCTGACATATGAGAGCTATTTAGGTGGTTAACTGTTGGTTTTTCTTTTTAGCCTTCTCTTCTCAATAAAGTAAGTTATATTTTAAATCCATCCTAAAGTGAGACTCTGACTCAGTGAGCGAGGTACAGTGACAAATGCCTGTAAATCCAGCACTTTGGGAGGCTGAGGTGGAAGGACTGCTTGAGCTCAGGAATTCGAGACCAGTCTGGCAACATAGTAAGACCTTACCTCTACTAAATTAATTAATTAATTGATTGATCAATAAGACACTTTTTTTTTTTTTTTGAGTTGGGAGTCTCAGGTTGGAGTGCAGTGGCACATTCATTGCCACCGCAGCCTCAACCTGGTGGGCTCAGGAAATCCTTCAGCCTCAGCCTTCCAAGTAGCTGAAACTACAGGTGTGCACCACCGCACCCAGCTAATTTTTTGACTTAGTAGAGATGAGGTCTCACCATGTTGGCCAGGTTGGTCTCAAACCTGTGGGTTCAGGCAATCGTCTCACCTCCACCTCCTGAAGTGCTGGGATTACAGGCATGAACCACAGTACCCGGCCAGTAAGAATCTTTTAAGATCTTGCTCCATACAACTTTTTTTTTTTTTTGCCACTCGTATCTTACATTCATCCTACAATCTGGTGGGGCCCATTTCCTCACTGCCACAAAAACATGACATAGCTCTTTTTCTCCTCAGTGCCTTTTTCGGTCATATTTTTCAGTTTTCCTAGAAAGCCATGTATCTCTGCTTTTCATTAAGCTTTTCTTTCAAGCTCGTTTCAAAGAATCTTTAACACATTCTATACTAAAAAGTCCACTGGAATTGGAGTCAAAATCCAGGATTCTAACCTAAGCTTTCCATTCCCTGGCTATGAAGTTTTTTGCAAATAGCTCTGAGGATGGCTGTCTTGTAATGATGTAGCTCTCAGTGAGACAAATGAGGAAGCTGAGGTTCAAAGAAGTGTCACTTTCAGTTCTGACACAAAAAAGATCCTCAAATATTTGTTGAATGAATAATAGAAAATGCCTCATTTTCTTTCCACTCTCATAACCCCTACAATATTTACAAACCACACTGCCTGATTTAGCATTTCACTATATACTACTTTGTACTACTCTGCATGTACCCCACATCTTTAAAAATAAACAAACAAAATTTTAAAAATTATAGAACAAGGTGGTAAGCACTATAATGTGGGAAAATTGTAATACATATATGAATGACAGGAGTATTAAAATAATTAAAGAGAAGCCCAAACCTACCTAAGCAAGTCAATCAGGGATGGTATTACAGACATAATTCTTGAACTAATTCTTGAAATAACTGGAGCTTGCCAAGTAGACATGCCAAGGAAAGGCATTTTAGGCAAAAGAAACAGCAAGTAAAAAGGCACATAGATATTATAAAATATGATACTATTCCTTACAGAAGACTAATACTATGAGGCAGAAAAAGAAGATAGAAGCCACATCATCATAAATGGCCTCACAGGCCACGCTAAAAGAAAAGAGGAGCCAGAGAAGAATTATGCAGAAATATGACAATCAAATCTGTATATGAGAAAGATGAATCTTTCAGCAAGGGGGAGAATATGTTAGAAGAGGGTAAATTGGAGATACAGTAATGAGTACTGCATAATGAGCCAGTCAAAACATGACAAACACCTGTGTTGGTGATGGAGAAGAAGGAAGAGGAGAAAGCAGAAATTCCCAGGAATTGGTGATGAGACTATATTGGTAGAAGATGATGGCTCTCAGTTTTTTAGTTTAAATCCATGTATTTAGTTTAAAACCAAGGCAGGGATTATAAAAAGTATAAACTGTGGATGAGGAGAATAAGAAGCTCTATTTTAGACATGGCATGTTTCAGGTGTCTGCAGAAGAGCCAGGTAAATATATATTCACCAAGCAGTTGAGAAACTAGTCTAAAATTTTTTAAAAGAGAGGTCTGAAGTAGAAACAGAGATTTGAAAGTTAAGATAGGATAATGGCTAAAATCAAGGACAAGGATGAAACAACCTAGATAGAATATTTAAGATAGAGAGAGAAGAGAACCACAAACAAAACCCTGAGGTAATGAGATATGTAGGAGAAAAACCTACAAAGGAGAAAGAGGTCAAAGAGCCTAAGAGTAAGGTAAGAAAATTAAAGAGCTTCAAGAAGTAGGGAAATAAAGACAAGTTCTGAGAAAAGAAAAAATGGATTTACAATTCAGTCAAGGTGAAAACATTCCTATACCATTCCATACACCGATTTTTGCTTTTTTAAAATAAGTTTTGTGTGTATGTGTATGAAGAAAACTAGGGTATGGGTTGTGTATGAGGTCTTTTTTTTTTTTTGAGTTGGAGTCTCACTCTGTCACCCAGACTGGAGTGCAGTGGCCGCTCCCAGCCACCACAGCCTCAATCTGCTATGCTCCAGCGATCCTTCTACCTCAGCCT